ATGCACGCACGCCACGCGAGGTTTTAGACATTTTTTTTAACTTTCCAGGAGGTCCTAGAACGATTTGTAAGATAATCCCCCTCCCTACACTTGAGGGTCGAGGAATTAGAAAATTGGGGTCAAAACGGTAGCAATCGTCGTCTTAGTTGTCGTCGTCTGAGTCGAGTGCAATATTTATGGGACCAAGAAGGAATCCGGTCTCTTCCGGAACTCCTTAACACTTTAACGCCAGGCTTGAGGATTCCGTTCTCTCTCTCTCTCTCTCTCTATCTCTCTCGTTGATTTATCTCCCACCGACCATCTCCTCCAGCAACCGTCACCATCACCACCCCATCTTCCTTTTCGTAAAGCAAAAACACGCTGCGAGAAAACGAAGGCTCGTAAAGTGTCGTGCGACAAGTTTCGGAAACTATTCAAACGTGATCGTCGTTTTTATATCTTTCTCAAAAAAATGCTTCGAATTTTTTTTCTCGCCTTAGTCTCAAGAAAGATAGAGAGAGAGACAGAGAGAGAGGAAATATGGCGTTGGAGGTTGTGGTGTTTAAAACGACGACGGAGGTGGCGAAGGTGGTGTGTACAATGCGCTTGGGGGGATTCACTTGGTAGGAATGCGCCGCGTAAATTTGCATTCTATGCATAGCGTAGATACTTATGGAGCGCGGCACGCGTGTCTTCGGGATATCTTCGAGTATCTTTGAATTCTCTCTTTTCTGTATAAAGAATCCATTGGCACCGATCTGAAAGACAACAAAAAAAAAACCATTAAACTTTTTACGATATCAATTCGAGTATATTTAGCACAAAATCTATACATTTTCAATATATTTCGATAATAATATTATTCTTTTATCATTTTGACGAATATATTTATTCAATTAATTGGAAATATTTAATGATATGTTTTCGACAAGATGGAAATCTTCGAAATATGTGAAACATCGTAAGAATTTGAAATACGTCGGACCACCACCGTGTTGTGTGTTGTTTCCTTTAAAAGATCGCGAGCTATGACTCTCAAGTATCATGGGGGGATACACACGAAACAACTATGCGAATTGTACAAGTATCGTATGCCACGCATGGTTAAGTAAAATCGCATAACCTTCCCGCCTTTTTCATCTTCCATTGTTTTGACTTTCTCATTACACAGGCAATATCCTTTCTACGAAAAATATACATGCAAATGAATACTGCAATGTGAGAGAATATTTTGACAAACGAAAAAGATCAAAGAATAAACTTAACTCAATTAATCAAATTTCGCGTGAGAAAACATTGTCAATGATTATTAACTCATATATAAGTTGAAAATAATTATTTGAATAAACAAAAGGAGATACTGTAAAATGTTTTTCGAAAGAATAAGAAAAATAGATGATTAGTGCAACAAGGAACGATGATTATAATCTAAAATCGTAGTTGGTATTCGAGGAGCGCACTGATTGGTATCTCTAATGTTAGAAAGTCGTAAGTTAAGTTGCCACCAGGTAGGTAAGAGAAGAGAAGAGAAAAGAAGAGAAGAGAAGAGAAGAGAATCGTGCACGTGCATAGTTGCGCACGTGCGGCTTTTGCGCACGAGAAGGATCGACTGGGCAATACGGTCCTACGCATTTCTTAGTAGCTCGTGCCGCTCTGGTCGTTAGCATCTGTCTTTTCTGAACCACAGGGCATCTTACTCCCTTCTCCTCTACGTCCACCTCCACAATCTGTTCTTCTTCCTTCTCTCTTCCTATTTTCTAACACATCAAGAGTACGTAAATAATATATACTTATATACTACACATTGATTTGTATTTGTCAAGTTGTATGAAATATCCCTTCTCTCCACATTTACGTGTCGTTAAATATTCATCGAGTCTCATAACGTTTGGCGAATTTTTAATAATCCTATCACGTCGAGAGCACAGGCGCTAATGAACGCTGAATATTCTATACGTCGTGGAACCTTCCTCTTGCCGCGATTTCTAGGATCGATAAAGTGAATGTCGATTTAAGCGGCTCGTTAAGAGATAAAGTAATCTATTCGTTAGAATCGTAAGAAATCAATCGTGAACAATCAATCTCGATGCAAAATCTTTTAAAGGTCTCTCTCTCTCTCTCTCTCTCTCTCTCTCTCTTACTCTCTTTATCTTTCGCACATAAAGCTGACGTTGCAACGCAACGCAACGCAACGCAAAATGGGTATTTGTTTTCTCTCAAGTTTCGTTGGATTTTTAACGACAAGGACTTTCAAGCACATTCCTTTAAACGCAAGGACCTACTATGCGGATACACGTACGTATGCGCATACATAGGTGCCTGGCCTAGAGGTATAGGGCTTAAGGGATAAGGTATATAACAGAGGAAGCAATCAGAAAGAGAAAGAAAGAGAGAGAGAGATTTTTCTCTTAGTTCTCCCCAGCTGCTTCTTCTTCTTCTTCTTCGTCCTGTTTCTTCTTCTCCGCTTTACGAAGGAGAGTTAAAGCAAGCAAGCAAGCAACGTTTCGCTTTGGATTTGTGCGCGGTGCTGCTTTGAATTCAGATTGCGCGCGGTCGTTCGCTGCCGGCGCGCCGGTTTTGTTTCTCCTTCTCTCCCWTTCTCCCCTGCCACCCTCTCCACCACCACCACCACCACCTTCTCCTCTTCCACCCGTTACGAAGCGAAGCAATTTATGCAATCTGGCCCGCGTCGTCCGCAAGTATTTATAACTCTGGGCCCTTTGTGTGTTAATTTGTACTTGGCTTCGCGAGCAGCCGCCGGACGAGAGAGATACCCAACCGCGAGGACTCCTTCTTGACCTTTGATCCTTCCAAGGACCTCTTAAGACTTTCCCATCCGTGACTTCTGATCAGGAAGGAACTCTCCTTTAATTAAACGGACCAAATACCATCCCTCTCTCTTTCTCTCTCTTTTTATATACAAGAATCTTTCCCCCCCTTGTGTTTTTTTTTCGCGATATTTACTAAAGTTCATTTCTTTCATGTTATATACTCACTTAATGATGCTCCAAGAAAGAAATAAAGACAAAAAAAACACCGTAACGGAGAATCCCGTGTGTCTAATCGTTAAAAAGAGAAGCAACGATCGACTTTGATCTTTCGAGATTTTTTTATAGCCAACGCCAGGGAGACTCGAAGTTTCGCGGCTGTTCGCGTATCGTTGAAAGGTCTCTTCTTTATATTCCGAAACTTCTTCACTTTGTCCTTTAGTACGAATTATACACATTTAAAAGAGAAAAACTACGTAATATAATATAAGAAAAGAAAAGAAAAGAAAAGTATCTAAATCGCATCGTTCTTTATTCATTTCTCTTTTTCTTTTTTTCTCGTTGCAGCGTTGAAGGTGAAGCTCATGCTGAGGCGGCCGATAAATCAACTGGTTGCCCAGGGCATTATGCCGTGTAAGTATGATTTTCTCGAACCTTTAGAGTTCATAAAATCCCAAGGTGTTCGTAACGTAAAGCAAGATGTGCAATTTGCCTCGAACTTGCAATCACCAAACGAAAGAACGAAGAAACGAACGAACGAACGAACGAACGAATCTTTACAACGATACCCGTGTTCCAGCTAACCAACAGCAAATTCTTCTCTTTCTCCCCATTCTTTTTTTCTTACTAAACTTTAAGTGAACTATTACCTTTTTTTCGATCTTCAAGATCGATTAATCCATTTACGAGAGTCGATAACCACACGATTACCCTTGATCGTTTTAATTACGTAAAATTAGATAACGGGGTCGCACGTACGAGTTTTAAAGTATCCTAAATTGTCACCAAAGATCTTTCAATTGTGTCGTACTAATGATACTACCAGCGTATTTCTTCTTAGAATTGCCTTATTAGGTTAAGAATCGATAAAAATATAGTAACGATAATGGTTAAACAACCGTAAGAAAAAAAACAACAAGAAAAAGTACAATAGATTGTCGTGAACTTTTAAAAGCGTCATCGTGTACGCATGCCATGCATGCATCTCTAGTTGTTCGAGTAGATTTATGAGGTGGCTTCGAATGTTTATACCGGAACGACGGGCGCGCATATACGAGAGAGGGATCCGGTAATTATTTGGGTCACAACCTGAAATATCGGTCTTGTTACTGTCCAAAGCGGTACGCGTTTATGACACTCGCCACGTATATATATATATATATATACATCGCCACGACTGATGGAAATACACCCTCTCGGAGATAGGTTTCATACGAGTTACATTACGGAGGCGTATACTCCTCCTCCAGCTATCACATCATGCATCCCTTGGTGTTCATTCATTTTGCAAACGGTGAGACTTTAAGGCGCCATTATACTCTTCCGGCGTGCCGGCGCCACGAAATAATGGCGCTGTCTTCGCGGAAATACGGTCTTTTTAACGAGCCGAGCAAGCTAAAGAGCCTCCGCATTTTTTATTCCCAACACAGGGCCCGGATGCGATATCCCGTGAGAGATTTTACGAAGTACGAAAATTTTAAAAATATCTTTTTTAACGCGTCGTATACATCGTGTCCGAATAACACTCCCCCTTCCCCCCCTTCCCCATAGGAATTCACTAATAACCAGACGCAACCTATGAACTCCGGAAAATTGACGACTCTTGCGAAGTTTAAATACGAATCGTCGTTAGCATATTTTCTGTTTTTTTTTTTCAAAACATCGATCAATTACACGGTTCCTACCTGGCAGGTATCGTTCTTTTTTTTTTCTTTCTTTGTCAAATACTGTCGTATTCCTAGTTTGGACACAGTTGGAACAATCTGATACTTATTATTTTACTCTGACAGTTTTATTTAACGATACACTCAAGGACAATGCAATTTAATTCGTAATAAAAATTCGTGGTGTCGTCGACCACCAAAAAGATTCAATGCTCGCTACACACGGACGCGATCGGAAAGCGAAAAAATTGGTAAAAATAACTTGAGCAATTAGAATTTTTCTCGCTCATCGCTTGAAAGTGGCTAACGAGACGAGAAACGATGCTTCTTCTCTCTCGGCATGATGATGGTGCGTGCACACGGCTTTGGTATCGCGACAAGCACGACGCCTAAGCAACGGAAGGAACACACATTTCCATTACCACATCATGCGACTTCGTAGGTGGTACAGTCTCTTTTATTCCTCGTAATGAAGTGGCTGCATCTGCATCGGCTGTACGGAAATAGTATTACGCGTGAGTTCGCGCCTACAGGAACGCGTTTCGGGGATCATTTATCCAGCAACTTAATGGCGCGAAGGAATGCGAGAAGACGTTTGACGTTGACACCAAAATGGCTTCGCGTTGAAGCGTTACTTGAATCTCGTCGTCCCGGAAATTCAACCGTGCTCGTTCTATCTTCTCCTTCTCCCACCTCTACCCCTACCACCTTTTACCTCTTTCCCACATATACATTTTCGAACGTACCTAAAGTTTCGTTATCCTTGGGTGTACAGCTCTGAAAACTCCGCCGGCGTTTCACGAACAGAGGAAACAACTCGAACGGGCGAAAACTGGTGATCTGTTAAAGGCAAAGATCCAACAGAGACCCGGTAGGGAAGAACTCGTGAGGCAGCATATCCTTGAAGATGTGGGTCACGTTGATCCAAGCCTAGCCGAGAGGCAACGTATGCTGAAGAAGGCCAGATTAGCCGATCAATTGAACGATCAACTCAGTCATCGGCCTGGCCCCCTTGAACTTATTCAAAAGAATATTCTTCATACGGAGGAACCCATCGAAAGGGCGGTAAAAGGTAAAGAAAACAAGATTTGTTTTTTTGATTAATTTCTTAGTCAATAAAGGAGGAGGAGGAATGACATGTGTCGATTATCTTACAGAGGGACACATTCCCTTCAAGGCGACGTGTGAGGGACAAGTAACGAAACCCCAACATCCGGATCATTACATCACATTTGAAGATGATTCCCAAAGTTCGGAAGGTGCACCTTCGCCGCAATTGGAGTCCCGTTCTGACGTATTGGAAACTGCAGCGGCCTCCGCGGGAATCGTCACGGTGTCTCTCAGCATCCCTACAACCGGTGGCGCGGTCGTTGTTTCCTCGACGTCACCAGTTTTTCAACAAGCATCCGGAACGGAACCTACGATACAAACGTTTGCGGAACTATGCAACACGGTCGTTGGCTCGCAACACCAAACGCAACAAGCTCAACACCACCCGTCTGCTCAGGTAAAAGAAAATTTTTAAGTACATTGTTTATGAAAGATCAAGCAAAGCTAACTACATGTTACCTTGTTTTTCTCATTAGGCGAATCAAACGAATGGAGCATCGGGCACGTTACTCCCATTGGCGCCGGCATCGAGTCCCATGTCTTTGGGATCGACCACTTCGAGTCTAAGTCCCCTGTCGAATATTTCGATAGCCTCTCCACCGGCTCCACCACCGGCAGCCATAACTCCTAGACCACAACCCAGTCCGATAGCTTCTTCGGCATGTCAAAGAAACGATGCACCTGGCAAGGACAAGAATCGAAAAAAATCAAAGACCAAGAGCCAACCTAAGACGCGTACGATCAAGTTTCACGAGTACAAAGTGAGTAATATAGGACCACTCTTATCGAGTCAACTTACCGATTCGAATTTAAACGAATTGCAATCCTATCGGAGTAACGAGCGACGAACGGTAAACCAGCGCGTCGCGCTTTTTTATCGACGAGCTCGTCGTTTGGAACAGATTACCTTTCCTCCTCCTTCCCCCCCCCCTCCCTCCCTCCCTCCCTCCCCATACACTGTATATTATTTCTCTTTCATCTTCCACTCTCGTCGTTTATATTTAAATATATCTACGTATCTCTCGCATGTATATTATGCATGTAATATAAATATATATGTATATATATATATATATACCGAGTTTGGTCGGGAAACGTGCTTTATAGCCGATATATGTATTATATATCGCACGTATGAAGGAGAAGAGCGCGATAATTACCAAGTATCCCAAAAAGATTGTTGCGTGTGCTACTACAAACTAGTTTTCGGCTAACGGGGAATCGCGTTTCGCCGTGGCCAACGAGTGAGAGAAAAAAAAAGAGCCATGTAAAAGGAAAAAAGCAAAGGAWACGAAGCTGAACAAGAAGAAGAAGAAGAAGAAGTTCGAGAAGAGAGGAGTCTGGGGGTAGAAACGAGTACAGACGCAACCGTGAATCTCGGCTCCTGTGGTCAAGCAAAAGAAAAAGAAAAAGAAAAAGGAGGAGGAGGAGGATGAAGAGGWGGACCAAAAGAGGGAGATCGTATCGGGTGATTAACTCTCGCGATCTCTCTCGAGGGGCCCCTGGGCCCACCTCGTTATCTCTGAGTAATTCGAGTGCTAATTGCACCTATGAGCGAGAGAGAAAAGGGACTTCGCATCCATCGATAGGTGCCGCAAGGGGGGCCCCGCTTTTATTCGGCCCTCTGGTCTCTCTTTACTTCGTGCCCCAGACCCCTCCCCTTGTTCTCAGTCATATTCCATCGTGAAAGCGCGCCCGCGTCAAGAATGATACGGGTGGTGTGCAAATGAGATCCGCGGAGAAAGAAGGTCTTTCGATGTGTATCATTTATCATTCGTAAACGGAACGTGCATACGTCACCGAATGAATTCTCTTCATCTCTCTTTCATTTTCCTAACGCATCAAGATGAAATTTATCTTTTTTTTCATTGGACTTTTACAAAATTCATCTTCACGTTTGTTCATTTGTACTACTGTTCCAAACGCGTTCTCAGTCGATTGCCTGTGTAGGAAAAAATATAACAAAAATTAACAAAGATTAACCATGACTAATGTGCTATGCGATAATATTGTGTGGCAGGGTCCGCCAAACGCACAAAAGACATCGGTTTCGTCTACGCCCTCCGGTCTCGGCTCGGCGCCACCCGGCGAGACGAGCTATGAGCTGCTCCTGCAGCAACAACAACTATTCCTTCAATGGCAGCTCGAATGGCAGCACAAGGTACACACATACCGAATCGATACTACACGCGATAATGATGTCCGTTACTGACATGCATGAGCTAGACTGCTTACTTACACGTTACACGCTTTCTCTCATTGAGAAGAAAAAAATGATTTAAACAAACAAATCACAAATTACAATTATAAAGAAAACTAATGTATGGATGATAATATGTTTTTTCCATAGTATCCTCAGATTATATTACCAGCCGCGCAGAAACCATTGTCTCTTACCAGCAGCGGTGCTAGCGATGCCGGAAGTATTAGCGGAAGTAGCGCGAACGCTCCGAGTCCTGCGCCATCGAATGCCTCAAACAATCCATCAGAACAACCTCCGCTCAGGCCTTTGGGTAAATTGGAAGATATGAAAGGTAATTACTTGAAAATATTCCCCCTTAAAAACTTGTCTATCTTTACTTTGCAATTTTTTTCTTGTTTTGTAATGTTTCAGTGAGCGATCTTAAAGTCGAATTGAAACGACGCAATTTGCCGGTGTCAGGTTCGAAGCCACAACTGATCGAACGGTTAAAACCATTCACGGAATCTTCTAGCGGGAATACAAACTCCAACGGACCACACGTCACGCACATGGGTCATATCTTAATGGACACGCCCGGTCCTATGACGTCCGACGAATCGAGTTCACACGCTAAGAGCCCTAGTTCGATCGTCAAGGACGAACCGAATAGCCCGCGGACAGATTCACCTCATGGCAGCGAACACGACGATCCGTCGAGCCCACCAGGTATGCGTATGGCATTATTCATGCATACATTTTACGTATCGCTATTAACTTCTCTCGACGAGACAAAGATTTATCTTCCTTCATGCGTTTAAGCTGTTAGCGCAACTTTCGAGCGAGATCGTCCCAGCTTCGAAAGACGACACACGTGGGTGTTTTTACGATGTAGTTCGTGTTTCAGGAGACGATATCATCAAAGAACAAAGAAAACGGATAGAAGAGTTGCAAAGGGAGTTGTATAAATCCCAACAACAGCTTCAACAAATTCGACAAACTCAGCCCGCAACTGTCCGCGCCGAGAAATTGGTGCTGCAACAACATATCCAGAGCAAGATGCAACAACAACAATTAGCATTACATTTACAACAGTTACAACATTTACAGCAACAGCAACAACAGCAACAGCAATTGCAACAACAACAGCAACAGCAACAAAGTCATCAACAGTCTCAGCAACAAATGCAGCAACAACACGCGACTTTCCAGCATCTCAATGCGAAAGCCAGTTTGGCAGCTTTTCTGCAGACGCAACCGAACAATGCAACTACTATTTTGGATTCCACAACACTCACGGCAAATAACAATAGGAGAAATCAAGCGAAGAATAGTACAACCGTTCAAATACCTACCGCAATAGTTTTGAATTTAGCGAAACCAGCAAAACTGAACGGATCGTTTCTCGGTGCTCTAGTCGCGCAAGCCCAAGCTCAACAACAACAGCAAACGAGCAATACAGAGGATGGTAAACCACCTCCACCACAATATGACGAAGCAGCCAAATTATTGAAGGTCGGTATAATTTCGAGTAATGTACATTTAATTAAAGTATTCTTTTTACTTCCCTATTTAAAATCGCGTTTACATTCAGGTCAAGATAGAACCGGTTCAAAAGAGTCATATCAAGAGTCAAGTGGTAGATGACGTGTTGGAAATTCTTATTAAAAACGGCGAACTTCCGCCAAGTGCTGCTCAAGATCCAGCTACGCCTACAACACCAAATCGTCAGTTACAGCAAAATTTGGTGTTTACCGCGCCAGCGGACAGTCCAACTCAATCTTTAGTATTCGCGGCCGCTAGTCCTATCAGTCCGATCAGCCCAATGGCAATGGAGGTATCTCAGAGTGGTTGTCCTAGTCCGTCGACGTCGACATCGGCATCGGCATCTGCCTCCGCTGCGGGATCGGCTGCAGCACCTCCACCTCCTCCGCCATTACCATTGGCAACCTTTTCTATTCAATTACCCACTGCCTTGCAGCAATTACAACAACAAGAAGATATGTCCTCGTTCGGAACACATCTTTTGAATTCGGATAACGATTTGGACACCGCCATGCTACTGAGTCCTGAATCTGTGAACGAAGCCTCACCTGATCCTCAACCACCGCAAGAGGTCACTTCATCGGATAACGCTAATTTAGATCTTAAAGTAGGTTGCGTTTATAGTCATAGTTTTACTGAATAATTCAAAGTTATTAAACAACAACAAAATCGATTATCGTTATTGCTTGATAGGAACTTGGATTGGATCTGGAAACATTGGGTACGATGGATTTTGGTCAACTCGACTGTGGTCTAGGAGTGAAAATGGAAACTACTAACGAACTTATGGATATAGCGGACATGCCAATGGACATGGACGACCCCGATTGGTTGGACTCCTTGATGCCGCAGTCTCCTCCTTCTTCTACACCTATGTCGATTCAACAATCGGTTCAACCGATTACATCGTTATCCTCGGCAACGGATATCTACGATCCGTTGCTAGCAAGTAGTCAAGATCCTTTCGATCTCTTTAACATGGAAGACTCCGACTTCAAGATGTCATCCGAACTCTCTCTAACATGGGACAAGGTAGACTTTGCTACCTAGCCCGAGATTTATTCCCAAAACTCAACTTTGTGTACTTAAAAGTTAACGAACAAGAGAGACACGGACTACTACTACTACTACTACTATTACTACTACTACTACTACTACTACTGCTATTACTATTACTACTACTACTAATCCTTGGCACCATGTACATCGCGTTTGGACACGAGTGTGTAATACGAATAAACGTATACATGATCATAGTGCAAAAATTGTACCAAGTGTAGGTGTCGTCGGTATTCGTTTTGGATGCAGTAATCACCGTTGGCCGAACAACGAGCCCTCCCTCCCAGACTCTGTCGACAAGCTCGAATGCTTCGTGCCAAAGAACTTCTATATTTGATCGTAAGGAAAAGTGAACGATTCCAAGTGAATTTATCATGAATCGGAAGTCGAGAGAAGCATATCTTAGGTAAGCGATCATCGAAGGCTAAAGAGGAATTTCTTTTTTTTTTTCTTACAACGTGTGCACCCTCGGTCTTCTTTGATCGTTTAAAAAGAATATAATGAAACGAAAAAAAAAAAAAGAAACAAATAAAAAAAATATGTCAACGCACATAATCGTTGTTCTTCCAAAAGATATCACGAATCCTATCGCTGTATAGTGGTCATTAAAATAAACCGCGCCTTATTAATGGCAAGTTAGTTAGAGTTTTTCTATCTAACCACTGTTGCGGTTTCCTAATTTCAAAATGATATCGGATCTCTAAATAAGGAGCAATTAAACTTGCTCTAAAACGAGAATTTAAGGGCAACGAGTGACTAATCTTTTCAAAATTCTCCAAAGAGTCTTCTTACGACGTTTTTAGATATGTAGTTCGTACTCTTATCCAGTCTACGAGATCGTGTGTTGCTTGAGTTTTAATAATCGCAAATTAGCGTGTGTGCAAAACATAAACAAACAAAAAATGTATACAGAAAAAACGAGAAGTACCGCTCATACGTTCTTCTGGTTTTGGTACTCTTTTCCTGAACCCTTCCCTTTCCCTTTATATATATATATAAAATAGAAACCATAATCAATCGTAACAAAACTGCATAATTACATTTACGAATATTTAATATAATTAAAAAGAAAAAAAAAAAAAGAATAATTGTAAAGGTATACATACGTTAGATAGATACTTATATATGTAAATTATATCATCTTATATACATATACATATATATGTATGTACGCCTCAGTCTAAAAGTTGAGCTTGGTTTTTTTTTTCTTTTCGTGGAAAAGCTCGTATCGATCGACTTTTAGCGGCGCAATTGCGATATTTTTTAAGCCAGAGCATGTGATGTTAGAAGGTACATATACTTTAATCTATAATATTATATATATATGTGGAAAGTACGAATTGCTTTGTAGTAACAAAAGAACATTGGTCTCGTTACCGAGGTCGCGGCTTGGCGCGATTCCTTCAGCTTTTTTCCCCAGATGACATTTCTCATGCTTTTTATTTTACTTTTTATTTTTTTGTTCATTCCTTTTCTGTCTGTCTCTTTCTCTCTCTCTCTCTCTCTCTCTCTCTCTCACTTTGATTGTTCTTGTTTTATGACATTCCATGTTTCTGAACTCATGACAAACTAGAATGAGATTTCATACCCAAAAAAAGCTGCCAACCTCTTTGTATAACCAGTTCTGAGAATTTCGGTTGGCTCGTTGAAAATTTCTATGGTGTTTTCATAAAAAAAAAAAAAAAAAGAAAAGAAATGAAAAAATACAAACAAAAAAATCCAAATCAGGTTACAAGTGGTAGGCTTGGATAAATAGGTGCAGCAGGTTGTTCAGTCAAGAGGTTCATTTAGTCGCATCAATGATGTTTTCTGATTCCAAATATATATGATCTCTGCTTGTGCTAATTAATCTCACATCTTACACTATATCATGAAATTTCTTTTTAATTCCGCTTTTTAGCTTTCTCGCGTCGTTTCAATGTTTTTTTTTT